CATCGCGAACGTTCCCAAAGCGTTTCCTAAGAAGCTGCTCTACCCGGTCGACTACCTCCCACTGAAGAACACCAAGGCACAAGAGGTTTTTGATTCATTCATCTCCACCCCTGAAAAAGAGCTTGGCATGAAGACTGAAAAGATCGACATGACGGCAATCCTGCAAAAGTCGGACAATCCCTACATCAACACAGTAGCCATGACTGAGTCTCTCTTTTCCACGGCAGTTAGATAGGACTCGTGGCAGGATATTGGCAAGGATCTCATTGCCCGCTGGAATGCTACCTACCCAGACGCAGAATTCTCACCCTTCGACCTCGAGACACGCAACGGCTTCATCAATCATGGCACATTCAATCAGTCAGCTTATGATGGGGTGATCAAACACAAGGAAGAGTTTGCTGCTTTTGCCAAGAAAGAGATCCTCCACCCTTCTAAGAAGACCTGCTCCGAGTCCATCAGGATTCTTGAGTCTGGCGCCAGCGGGCTGCCGTCCTACCGCGAGGAGTTCCTCAAACACGAAGAAGGTACTGGTTTCCATTACATGACGGATCCCAAACAGTGGCTGAACCCCCTACTTCTCTCACCACTTCTCTCGGCTCCGCAGATTGGCATCCCCATTGGCCAGGTCGACTACAAGAGTGTCACCAGCTTGCAAACCGAGAAGTTGCCCATTGTGATGGGTTTGATGACGTATCCTGGTTGAGATAATATGTTGCTGGACCTGGTGGAGAAGTTGGCGGAGATGGGGATTATCAAGACTGTCAAGACTGGGCGTACAGCTTTCTGAGATAGCTACTAGGGTGACAACAGAGTCAGATACGGCGGGCCAATTCTTTGAGTTTTGGATTAATCTGTAGCCAAAATAGAGTCTCTACACTGCCTTTACTACGCATGAATAGCGCTTCCTGGTCTCTGTTCTTAGCTCTCTCTCTATAAGAAGGTGTTGTTTATCTACCTCACCTAAGGTCTCCGTCTCCTAGATCTTGGATGCTTTGCCAGACTTCTCGGTAGCTTAAAGTTTTTCTACCTCTCTATGACACAAGCTATACCTTCGCAGAGTCAAGACATCAATTCCCACCGTCTTGCCTTATTACCGAGCTCCCATCTCTTCGCACCAGCTCGGCTTAATGCGGAGCACTGTCCGCCAATATGCAAGTTATATGCCCGTGATTGGCCGCCTGGTTTCTCTTTCAACCCCCGCCTTCAATTGTCGGTTAGCTTTCTCCCCCATCATAAGCTGATACCTTCCTCGATAGTTGAACCTCATCATTTACTCCCGTCACCCACTGTTTCGCAATCGTATCTGTTGAATTGCCCTCATGGATCAGCAACCTAACTCTCGCCACCTATGTGGTCGGTGCCGCATCGGACTCCGTTTCCCAGGCATCGAGAATCCCGAATTGCGTCCAGAAACCGTCCTGGAACAAAATCCTCCTGACGAGGCCGACCCTAATGTACCAACCCGATACTACCACTGGCGTGGGCTGCATAGGCTCAGGTGCAACTTCGTCCTCCGCGACAAGTTGCCGCACACGGCCACTTTGACACTGGGCGTGGACGAGGGTTGTGTGTTCTGCTGCTTCTTACGATCTCTTCTATTAGGTCATATTTCGACAAACCCGCCAAGTGATGACGCAGTGACTGTTAATCTGGAATATCTCTGGGATTCCCATCCCGTGAGGAACCAGACCGGTGACCTCGCCACAAGATGGGTCCTCGAAATCACGTTCAAGTTCTCTTCACCAGAAAGCTTCGGGTATTCCACTAATTATTATTGGCCTATGGTCCGAAAGTCTGGTATGTAACTTCTACAGGTTATGAGATACCCAAGTACTTATCACCAAATGCATAGAAAGTCTACATGGACAAAGGTTGGGAATGCCAGCCCCGAACCCACGTCACAGTTTAGGGCAAAAAAACCTAGAGTTTCTACAATCAAATATTCATCGATGCCTCAATAGCTGCGTGCATCTGCGTCCTGGTTCAAGAGACTTCGTCCCGAACCGCCTCATCGACGTCAGCGACGCTTGTTTGAGGATTATTGAGGCTGTGGGCAACTCGAACCGGAGGCAGGTCAGTGATGCTCGCTATGCGACATTGAGCTACTGTTGGGGTACCCGAGATGAGGGTTTGTCGCAGTTGCGGCTTACCAAGGATTCCTGGCTGCGACTGACATCCGGCTTCATGCTGGGAGAAATGTCTCCCGTACAGAAGGACGCTGTGATGCTTGTAAGGGCATTGGGTATTCCCTATCTATGGATTGATGCCATTTGCATCAGGCAGGACGATAAGTCCGACTGGGAGCGCGAGTCATCGCTGATGCATAAGATATACGGGAATTCGTACCTGACCATCTGCA